ACTATAAAGAGTTTTAGCGATTGTGAGTGTTGGTATCGGAGTTTAAGGCCCCCGTCGGTGTGGCATCACTTAAAACTATATGTGGCGTATTTCACCACATCTCAAAATAAATTTTGACATTTTTGACGCGATGGAAAATGAAACTTGTATCCAATTGCCAGTCTTTGTTTAATGTCGGAGTGGTGGAGTTGCCTTTGAAATAGTGGTTTTTGTTAGTGTCCAAGATAAGGAAGTAAAACAAAAAAGGAATATTGTGCCGGGAAGCATCCGCCCCTATTCTAAAGTTTGTTTTAATTTTAATGAAAGCAAGTCAATATTTGAGTTTGTTAATTTTAAAACAGGCACAACAAAAGCGGTTTATCTTATTGCAATAGTTATTTATTGGAAATTGGGCCAAATAAATGTGTTTTAGTAGCATTTGTCGGTGGTTGTGAAAATTGTGTGTGCGTGAACAAGCCGAGTTCATCGGTCCAACGTATTCGGTAATTCCTCATTACATATATGTACAATTTTACTTCGTTTAGCTGATGCACATCAGCACAAAAACGCCAGACAGCATTTTGCGAGATACACAAAGTCGCTGCACTGAATATATTTATGTAAATACATACATATCGCACACCGTCTTCAAAAGAATCACAACTCAAAATTTGGCATTTTTGAGATTACGCGCTAAAAATGCATACAGAGCTTTTATTTACCTTTCAGCAATTACTGGAGCACATTTTTGTTATAATTTGTTAAAAAACCTTAGGTAAAGTCGCCCTTGCCCATATGATTATAATGTGCTAAGAAATAGTTTTTCGCATTTTCTGACAAACGTGTTATTTTGAGTTGTGACTCTTTTGAAGACTGTGCGATATGTAAAGAAGTACATGGGTGTCTGCTGCTTGGTTGTAGAATATGCAATGGTCGAATTTTCTGCACCAGAACGAGGGGATTATGTGCATTCGTTGTGTAGCAACTTATTGAATATGTGTTTTTGCTATTATCCGAAATTTGTCCAAGGAAATATTCGAAAACTATAGTTGAACACTTCCATATAGACATACATACATACTTGTGCATATATAACTTCAATTTCCCTATTTGGCGTGTTTATATCGCAATTGAAAAGCAATATATCAAAAAAGTCTTGCTTTAGTATACATATACAAATTCTATTTGGACGCCCTCGTCAAACCTTTGCTTTAAATCCACACATTATTCAACGCTTGTTCCACAATAGTTGAAGGAACACAAAATTCATGTTGCATGACATCAGAACAATTCTCATTGGAAATTGTGTTAAAAATTTTGAGTGAAAATTTAATATAAACCCACAACAGTGAAAACAATAACTTAAAAAGTTTATCTTTACAAAATATACAAAAATAAAACAACAAAACATGATTTTTTGTGAAGTGACACCATATAACGAAAAGCAGTGGTAAATCTTCTCTCAAGGAGTGTTAAATCACATCTCAAGCAGTGTCATCATTCTGGCCAGTATTCTTCTTAGCCCTTTATTATTCCATCCTAATTCCAAGGCTTTGGTAATTACATCACTCTGAAACGCCATATGTTTTGTAGCTTACAGTTTTTGTCGTGCAGTCAATAGCAGTCATCTCTTTAGTAACGCTAAAATACGCTCAAAGCGAGCTAACCACGCAGGCTTATCCGAAGGCACCAAGAAATCGCTTGATATAAATATATACTTACTTAATTGCTCTTATTAACGCTAAATTTTGGATCTATTCAACGAACTTAAAGCGCAACTATCAAGTTGCCCCGAGAAGACTCGTGCACTCTGCCGCACTGTCCAGACGACAGTGTGGGGTGCCGTTGTATCCTCTTTAAACGGAGCTCTTGGCGGCGGTGTCGGTGTTGCAGTCACATCATCAGCGGATAGCAGTGGCGGCGCCGGAGCATCCGGACCAGGACCCGGTGGCGGTGCGAGCGTCAGCCGCTTAGCATCTATAATGGGCGCCGTTAGCTCACGTAACATCTCCACCACTGATGTGCTGGTAGAGGAAGAAGGCGGTGCTGGTGCGGGACATGGTAGTAGTCATGACCATGGCAACGGAAATTATTCAATTACACACAAGAATGGAATAACCACAGCAACTGGTGGCTTTCTTCAGAAACAAGATTTACATTATGACATCGGTTCAAGTTCTCAGTACCAACACGTACGTCAACCGAGTGTACGCAGTCGCAGTCAGCAACCGATGCCCACGTCAGATGAGCTTGACAGGCGATTCGCAAAAGTTTTGGTAAGCCTTCATTGGGAAAATTTTAGTTAAAATCGACACGAAAAAAATTGGGGGGCTAGATTCTAAAAGTGAAGACCCCAACTCGCGCACTCTTATAGTTTTTAAGTAATTTGTTGTTAAAGTTGCGAAATTCACCAATATGTTGATGCAAATTGCATCCTTTTGATCATCCAAAAGTGCGCGAAATAGATAAATGTGACTTGGGTGGGCTTTAAAGCATAAACCGACGGCAGCGTTAATACGGATCAACTCGTTAATTCGGAATTATCTCGGGAATTAACTGCAGTTGATCCGGATTAAGTCCTAGAGTTAATTCCCAAACTTAACTCGGATCAAGAGAATTTTCGATGACAACACTAACCAAAACTCGGCGAGAGTAGAATACAGGGAAAATGCAAAATTAGCAAGTACATATACCTTTTCATCGGTAATGCAGTCACTATGCTAATTCAAATAGGAATCCACTTTAAAATAGCTTTGTTTCTTAACAGATAATTATCACAAATTATCACTAATTTCTGCTGGAAAGCGTTTCTTAACCCAAAAAACTGGCAGAAACTAGCAGCTCTCTCTCGATCTTACGTTCTTCTTTTTTGGCTCTCCTGCTAATTTCTGCTAGTAAAATTTTTACTAGCAGAAACTAGCAGCTGTCAAAATGGATAAACAAAAATTCGCGCCAAATATTTTTAATAGTCAAATACACCGATCAGCTGATTACTTGCTAGTTTCTGCTAGTTTTGCGTTTCTTTACTTTTTCGTTATTTCGCTCTCTGTGAGCGTAATTCTCTCAATTTTCTCATTCTTCTTCCTGATAATTATCTGCTAGTAAAGAAAAGAAACAAAGCCAATGAATAAGAACTTATTTCGGTGACTGCATTACCGACTACAGGGTGGATGTCTGATGTGATGTTTTGCAGTTTCTTTGTGTTCTACGCTAACTGAGCAAATAACGCAACTGATTTCTTCATCCGCGGTAGTCGAGTAGTGAGCTGCGTACTACAAGCCTGTAGGTCCCAGGTTCGTTCTTCGGTTGCAGCGATTACCAAAAAAATTTTGTTTATATTATTTCTTTCATTTTT